CAGTCATGGGTAGAACAGGAATTCAGGAGGGGGCTGAGCACGCACCCTTGTGGGGCCCAAGTGTTGAGGATCAGGGTAGCGGAGGTTGCCTACCTTCACCACCTGGGGTTGGCCCGTCAGGAAGTCCAGGACCCAGTTGCACAGGGCGTGGTTCAGACCTAGGGCCCGGAGCTTAGTGGTGAGCTTGGAGGACACTATGGTGTTGAAGGCTGAGCTGTAGTTGATGAACAGCACTCTTACATGGGTATTCCTCTTGTCCAGATGGGATAGGGCAGTGTGCAGTGCAATGGCGATTGCATCATCCGTGGATTTGTTGGGGCGGAATGCAAATTGTAGTGGGTCTAGGGTGTTGGGTAAGGTGGAGGTGATATGATCCTTAACTAGCCTCTCAAAGCACTTCATGATGACATAAGTGAGTGCTACGACGCGATAGTCATTTAGTTGTTAGGCTAGGGATGCCATCTGGGCCGGCAGCCTTGCAAGGGTTAACACGCTTAAATGTCTTACTCACGTCGACCATGGATAACTAGAGCTCACAGTCCTTGTGAGAGGCGGTGGCCCGCGTCAGTGGCACTGTGTTTTCCTCGAAGCGGGCAAAGAAGGTGTTTAGCTTGTCTTGGAGCAAGGTGTCGGTGTCTGCGACGTGGCTGGTTTTCCCTCTATAATCCATGATTGTCTGAAGTCCATGCCACATACATCTCGTGTCTGAGCAGTTGAATTGCGACTCCACTTTCTTTGTACTGCGGTTTTGCCTGTTTGATTGCCTTACAGAAGGCATAGCTGGACTGTTTGTACTCGTCCATGTTCCCAGTCACCTTACCGTGGTTAAATGCGGTGGTTCGTGCTTTCAGTTTTGCGCGAATGCTTCCAGCTATCCACGTTTTTGGTTTGGATAAGTTCTAGTGGGTGGGCACAACATCCTCTATGCACATCCTGATGAACTCAGTCAACGAGTCAGTGTATATGTCAATGTTATTCTGAGGCAACCTGGAATATAACCCAGTCCGCATGATCAAAACAATCTTGAAGCATAGATTCTGATTGGTCAGACCAACGTTCAACAGTCCTTACCACGGGTACTTCCTGTTTAAGTTTCTGCCAATAGGACTGAGGAGCAGAATGAAGGCGTGATCTGATTTGTCGAAGGGAGGGTGGGGGAGGGTCTTGGAGCCGTCCCGGAAGGGGGAGTAGCAATGGTCAGGCGTCACTACAATGGTCAGGTGTCACTGCTAGAGGCATCACTACAGACGCGGGTTCGATCCCGGGCTGTATCACAACCGGCTGTGATCGGGAGTCCCATAGGGCGGCGCACAACTGTCCCAGCGTCATCCGAGTTAGGGGAGGGTTTGGCCGGGGGGGCTTTACTTGGCGCATCGCGCTCTAGCGTCTCCTTGTGGCGGACCGGGCGCCTGCAGGCTGACCTCGGTTGTCAGTTGAACAGTGTTTCCTCCGACACATTGGTGCGGCTGGCTTCCGGGTTAAGCGGGCGGGTGTTAAGAAGCGCGGTTAAACGGGTCATGTTTCGGAGGACGCATGACTCGACATTTGCCTCCCGAGCCCGTTGGGGAGTTGCAGCGATGAGACAAGATCGAAATTGGGGAGAATAAAGGGGTAAAAAACTAACAAAAAAACAAACTTCAGTAAGTTTAACTGTATTGCAATTTAAACTTTTTTTGTGCAACCCAAAACAACTGAAAGCAACGCTAGTGTGTGTAAATAAAAATAAAATAAAAGCCCCTTTAGTACCACCACAACCCCATCATTGTTTACTTACGGTCATTGAAGCTCTTCTGTGTGTGTTGTTGTGAGTTGGGGTACTTCCTTCTGGCTGTTTCAGTCTCTCTATTGAGATATTCACATTTGTCCAGATAATCACATTTTCATGAAAATAGTTTAGTTCACGCCACGGTCACCTTTGAAAACACCACCATGAGGGGTTTAGGCAGAGCTACATACTAAGCTGTTAACCTACTAACCTGCTGCCTTTTCAGTGTTGGCTATGCCTACATGTTCAGCTTTCAAAGGGGATTGTGTAGCTCAATGAGGATAAAAGCATACGTATTCTTCCTTTCAATATTAAGTGGATGGATATGTTAATGTATTGTAGGCTATGTGAATGACCTCATTTAGGCCTAAACAATGAGGTCAGATCAACAAGCCTGACTAACCTCTGAATTGTAGAGTAATAGCCAAACATTCCTCAATCTGGTGATATATTCGTGTTGAGACATTAGAGGCATGTTGCATGCTCTAGCACACATAGTTGGACCATCGCAGGAGAAGGTTTTTCCCAAGTGAGTCGCTGAGCTGTGCCTCAATGAAGCAGGTCAAAGAACAATGGCGTGGAGATTTCTTCGGTATAGCAACTTTATGGGATTTATTTTTGCAAAGTCTTGTACATCCGGGATGTTTATTATGGTAGATTCTGTGCTGTTTCTCTGGCTTGTCCTTGTCCAGGATGTTTATTATGGTAGATTCTGTGCTGTTTCTCTGGCTTGTCCTTGTCCAGGATGTTTATTATGGTAGATTCTGTGCTGTTTCCTCTGGCTTGTCCTTGTCCAGGATGTTTATTATGGTAGATTCTGTGCTGTTTCCCTGGCTTGTCCTTGTCCAGGATGTTTATTATGGTAGATTCTGTGCTGTTTCTCTGGCTTGTCCTTGTCCAGGATGTTTATTATGGTAGATTCTGTGCTGTTTCCCTGGCTTGTCCTTGTCCAGGATGTTTATTATGGTAGATTCTGTGCTGTTTCTCTGGCTTGTCCTTGTCCAGGATGTTTATTATGGTAGATTCTGTGCTGTTTCTCTGGCTTGTCCTTGTCCAGGATGTTTATTATGGTAGATTCTGTGCTGTTTCCCTGGCTTGTCCTTGTCCAGGATGTTTATTATGGTAGATTCTGTGCTGTTTCTCTGGCTTGTCCTTGTCCAGGATGTTTATTATGGTAGATTCTGTGCTGTTTCCCTGGCTTGTCCTTGTCCAGGATGTTTATTATGGTAGATTCTGTGCTGTTTCTCTGGCTTGTCCTTGTCCAGGATGTTTATTATGGTAGATTCTGTGCTGTTTCCTGGCTTGTCCTTGTCCAGGATGTTTATTATGGTAGATTCTGTGCTGTTTCCCTGGCTTGTCCTTGTCCAGGATGTTTATTATGGTAGATTCTGTGCTGTTTCTCTGGCTTGTCCTTGTCCAGGATGTTTATTATGGTAGATTCTGTGCTGTTTCCCTGGCTTGTCCTTGTCCAGGATGTTTATTATGGTAGATTCTGTGCTGTTTCTCTGGCTTGTCCTTGTCCAGGATGTTTATTATGGTAGATTCTGTGCTGTTTCTCTGGCTTGTCCTTGTCCAGGATGTTTATTATGGTAGATTCTGTGCTGTTTCCCTGGCTTGTCCTTGTCCAGGATGTTTATTATGGTAGATTCTGTGCTGTTTCTCTGGCTTGTCCTTGTCCAGGATGTTTATTATGGTAGATTCTGTGCTGTTTCTCTGGCTTGTCCTTGTCCAGGATGTTTATTATGGTAGATTCTGTGCTGTTTCTCTGGCTTGTCCTTGTCCAGGATGTTTATTATGGTAGATTCTGTGCTGTTTCTCTGGCTTGTCCTTGTCCAGGATGTTTATTATGGTAGATTCTGTGCTGTTTCTCTGGCTTGTCCTTGTCCAGGATGTTTATTATGGTAGATTCTGTGCTGTTTCTCTGGCTTGTCCTTGTCCAGGATGTTTATTATGGTAGATTCTGTGCTGTTTCTCTGGCTTGTCCTTGTCCAGGATGTTTATTATGGTAGATTCTGTGCTGTTTCTCTGGCTTGTCCTTGTCCAGGATGTTTATTATGGTAGATTCTGTGCTGTTTCTCTGGCTTGTCCCTTGTCCAGGATGTTTATTATGGTAGATTCTGTGCTGTTTCCTGGCTTGTCCTTGTCCAGGATGTTTTATTATGGTAGATTCTGTGCTGTTCTCTGGCTTGTCCTTGTCCAGGATGGTTTATTATGGTAGATTCTGTGCTGTTTCTCTGGCTTGTCCTTGTCCAGGATGTTTATTATGGTAGATTCTGTGCTGTTTCTCTGGCTTGTCCTTGTCCAGGATGTTTTATTATGGTAGATTCTGTGCTGTTTCTCCTGGCTTGTCCTTGTCCAGGATGTTTATTATGGTAGATTGTGCTGTTTCTCTGGCTTGTCCTTGTCCAGGATGTTTATTATGGTAGATTCTGTGCTGTTTCTCTGGCTTGTCCTTGTCCAGGATGTTTATTATGGTAGATTCTGTGCTGTTTCCTGGCTTGTCCTTGTCCAGGATGTTTTATTATGGTAGATTCTGTGCTGTTTCTCTGGCTTGTCCTTGTCCAGGATGTTTATTATGGTAGATTCTGTGCTGTTTCCTGGCTTGTCCTTGTCCAGGATGTTTATTATGGTAGATTCTGTGCTGTTTCTCTGGCTTGTCCTTGTCCAGGATGTTTATTATGGTAGATTCTGTGCTGTTTCTCTGGCTTGTCCTTGTCGGATCATCCTCTTTCATGCAGGGAATTTTCAGTCTGGTGTCATAGTCTCCTACATATTCTATTTTGTGCCTTTTTAATATGATTATTTTTCAATATGTCATGGTAGGGTTTTTGCTTTTGTTTCACACTGTAATGTGCTTTAAGATGATGGACTTGTATTATCGTGACTGTATCCAATAAATTTATTTGTCTCTGTTTTAGGTTGCCAAATCTGGCTCAGACTTGTTGGCCGGTTAATGCATAGAGTTAAGAGGGTGAAACTTGAAGACGAAACAGAAGGTAGTTGGAAAAGAAGGTGCGTAACTAATCTTGCATTCTACTGTGCTCATTTGGTAAAATGTGGCTTAATGTGACATGTTTGACCATTTTTTAAACCTATACAACTAGCTGGTCTGTCTGTTCTCATTGTTTACATGTATTCAATGCTCAATGTTACATGTATGTACTTACATTCAGCTTTGTAACAAATATTGTTGGTGACTTTTCTATTGTTATGGGTCAGTTATACAGCTGTCAGAATGACCGCGGTAGATGAGCTCTCGGACAGTACGGAGGTGGTGGAGATGGAGGACGTGCCCTCCCAGTTCTTTGTGGAGAAGCACTCGTGGGATGGCCTGCGGAACATCATCCATAGCAGCCGCAAGTACTCGGGCATGGTCATCAACAAGGCCCCGCATGACTTCCAGTTTGTCCCGAGGCAGGACGAGTCAGGACCATACTCCCATCGACTCTACTACCTCGGTGAGGTCACACCCTCACTGGAAATTCCATTATGTATTTTGCGGAGTCGTCACAATTTCTGTCAACAAACAGCACCGCAATGGTGACAGTACAGTGTATAATAATTAACTCATGTGAATAGGGGTGGGAAATTGAGGAATCTGATGTATATTTGATCTCTTCACTTGTGTTTGATTCCCTCTGCACCATTAACATTAGAAGGTAGGCTATAGGGAACGTTACATTGGAAAGAAACCCCTTAGGAACAACCTCAGAACAACCAATCTGAGACAATATCCTTGAACTTTGTGGTTACGCAGATAAAGAATATATTTGCATTGCTAAGTCTGTTTAACTCAACCCGTTTCTTCTGCTCCATGTTCATTTAGGAATGCCCTATGGAAGTAGGGAAAACTCATTACTTTACTCAGAGATTCCCAAGAAAATTCGGAAAGAGGCCCTTCTGGTGTTGTCGTGGAAACAGATGCTAGATCACTTTCAGGTAAAGGCCCCTCAGCCCCTTCCTCTGGGCTCCCTTTTGCCACTTGTTGAATTTCTGGGAAATCTAAACATAAATGCTGTTCACCGCAGGAAATTCTTCACACATTCACAAGGCATTTCTGCGTGCATGTCCTCATCCACAGCACTGATGTGTAATATGTAGAGGAGAACATACATGGGTCAGCTCAGTTGGCACCCAATGGAATACTCCTGTACTTCCACCCTTTGGGAGCGCCTCTGTTTGTCTATGCTCTGTAGATGACATAGCCATCAATACTATGCCCCCCCAAAATACATTTTGATAATTAACGTCCCCTTTAAACACGAGTGGCAAAACGAAGGTACCACTATCGTTGCCCAGAAAACAGCATGTTGGCTAAAGCCAAAACACGCTGGTGTGCATGCTAAGCTATCGCTGTCTCACTGTCTGCTACGCATCTTTCCTGACTGTCAGGCCACCCCACATCATGGGGTGTACTCCCGGGAGGAGGAGCTGCTGAGGGAGAGGAAGCGTCTGGGGGTCTTTGGGATCACATCGTATGATTATCACGCCGAGAGCGGCCTTTTCCTCTTCCAGGCCAGCAACAGCCTGTTCTACTGCCGGGACGGAGGCTATAATGGCTTCATTGTGAGTATTATTTACAGGACACAGCCCAGGCCTTCCTGTTAAGGTTAGGATCATACTGCTGTTAGCCCAATACAGTTATGTTGGCATCTTGGTTATTTAGGTGGTCATGCTAGCAAAGTCCTTCAAATATATGTAGGGTAGTCAGAACTGTACAAAGTGCTCTGTGGATTTTTAAAGGAAAGAATTGTTCTAAGTGCTCTGTACATTGCTAAGGTGAAGTATGCGAAGTGCCCTATACACTTCTAAAGTTAAGAAGTGTACCAAGTGGTCACCTACAAGTGTTTGTGATAGAAAATGCTTTGACATGTAGGCACTCTGGTAACCAACCTGTCTGTAGCATGTTAAGTTCTCATCCCTAAAAGTCTGTGTGATGTTTAGCAGGCGTCCCCCATGAAGCCTGTAGAGATTAAGACCCAATGCTCAGGCACTCGAATGGACCCCAAGATCTCCCCAGGCGACCCCACCTTCATGTCCTTCATCAACAGCAACGACCTGTGGGTGGCCAGCATCGAGACTGGGGAGGAGCGGAGACTCACCTACTGCCATAAAGGTTGGCACAAATGATGTATAGCAGTGGTCACCAACCTTTTCTGAATCAAGATCCCTTTCTGAGTCAAAATTCAAGCCGAGATCTACGTCTCATATTTTTCTTTAAACATGACTTTAAAAAACGTAAAACCGTTCTGTGGCAATGAGGATTGTGCAGTAGACTATAGACCCAATACATTATCACATTACACTTGAATTGGCCTGCCAATGTTGTTCTTCTCAGACCATTTAGAAATGATATTAAAACATTTTATGTATATGATCACACTGATAATAGATAATTTGTTGTATTACTTGTGAGCATAATAATAATCTTTAAAACATTTTTTACTGGACTGATGGCCTACATCTGATGGCCAGTCTGAGGGGAGGGAGGCTAGTGATGGGCATTCCGAGTCTTTTTGGTGAGCCGGCTCATTTGCCTCCCAAACGACTCTTCATTCAAAATGCTTAAAAATCGACCTAGAGCCAGGGGGCCAGAAAGTGAAATGCGTGTTAAAATACATTTTTAGCTGGCCAAATTATTAGATTGCCTGCAAAAAAAGTTGTTTTTATTTCACTCTAAAATAAAACAAATGTTTTTCTGGGCTAATAATCACTGTTTGCAAAAAATACCTTTCAATGCATGGCTAAGCACGTATAGCGTAGAGTAGGCCTAAGCTATATCAGATAGCCTACCTACCTTTCTTTGTACAGATTTTTTGGGGGCTTTTTATAAACAAATTTCCTGCAATTCTACTACACTTTATATGACTGGAGGCATTGGCAGAATCTTTTTGAATACGACAAATTACGAGTAGCCTACTTTGCTGACACTGACAAACATTTCAATAAAAATTACATCCATATAAATAGGCCTACATAAGGGGAGACACAAATAGAATATAAGGTCCAGCTAAACTGGAGTAGGAAATTATTGTCCAAAAACAAAATTTTAGTGGCACTGACCCAACAATGATAAAGACTGAATATGCGCAGTGCATACTCATCGGGGATATGGCCGATGCTCTCCACTGGTACCAATATGAGGCTATACTGTTGTTCCCTCAATTAAGTTGAGAATTTTGATAACTAAAAGACATTAGTCTTTTCAATGCCTTCTCTTTACAGCAATAGCCATTTGCTTTGCAAAACTATGTATTCCCGTGATTGTATTTTGAAATATTGCGATATGCTTGGCTGTGCCTCTACTTTTCACTGACCGTCGCAACTCAACAATCATCTGCCCATATTGTGCGTGCTGCCTTTCCTTCTGACTGTAGACAATGCGATGTAAAACAATCCACAACTTTGTTTTTTTAAAGAAGCTAATGATCCTCTGTGGCCAAATCATGCTTTAGTAGTCTATTTTTAATGATTTTATTTATTTCTGTAAAGACAGGAGTAGGCTAATTGAGCGATATAATTTTGGCAATTCAATTTATTTAGAGAAAGCTTAGCTTCCCCTAGCCTGATGGACGCGCTGCTTATGCACGGGATTATAGACGTGTGTCTCTCCTCTAAATAAACAAATGAAATTGGGCCTAGGCTACAATGGAGCACAGTCAAGCAGAACATTTATATGTTTGTGTTTCATAATTATCACAGTTAAAATCGGAGAGCAACATCTATCCGGTAAAGTCCACACAGCATATTATTACAGTTGCTGTAATTACTTCGCAAAGAAAACAAGAGCGCGGGCCTGTGCGACCTCCGCCATTTCAGCACCACCAGCTGGCTGGACAGCCTCTCCAGCAGTCTCCAGCGAACGAGCATAAGGCCTTATGCCGTGCATGAATTTATTACAAAAAGTATCATCATAGCTTACCTTAATGATTTCTTCCTCATTTTCCAAGCAGCAAAATCTGCTACTATGTCCTTGAAATCAAGTGTCCTGAGTAGATCATTCTCAAGAGCCGTAAGATTCAAATGGTTGTCTTTCCTGTCCCATCGTTGATCTGTCTGTTTTTGACAATAGCCAGCTTTGAAAAGGACCGCTCCCCTGATGCATTGGTAACGAGTAAAGTCAAGAATATTCGCAAGGCAATATCAACAGTGGGAAAGACTGCTTGTAGATTCCTCTGTCTCAACATGTGAAGCAATTCTCCCACTTTTGATACATTCTTTAAACTGGACGATTTCATCTGGAAAATCATGTTGCAAGTCAGATTGATATTTACTTTGACGGTTGAGTGCAGATGAGTGTAGGTCTTATGAGGAACGTGAAGGTATATTGTTGAAAAATCCAAAGCAGTTGTTTAGCTCTTTGTATGACTCATACCTCCTATCCAACTCGGCAATAAGTGTGTCAATCACAACGGTGAACACACCAACAGCACATTTCTGCTGACCTGTCATTGATGAATGACAGTCAGGCTCTGCCTCTGACGAATTATCAGGTGTTTTTGCCGTCTTCTCAGTCGTGTTAGGTTAGTAAAGCGTTAAAACACTTGGTGACATGTCCTTTCCTTTTGCCTCAATGCTATCGAACTGATCTCGGAGCCCAGCCACAATCTCTGAAGGAGGCCATCAAATGAATAGAGTTAGACAGGTCCAGTTGGACTACCTTAAGTGCAGTGCTTGTATTCTGAAAACGTTGGAGTATTGTGTTCCACAAGTTACAGAGAAAAGCAATCTCAAGTTTGTCCATTTGGGTATAGAGCGTTAGAGCTTTGTTACGCATGGCCAGAGTTTGATTTTCCTCAGATACTTCTAGAAGAGACTGACTAACATTGGCATAATTGAGGCATAATGCTTTTGTCGATTGTGCATGGGCAGACCACCTCGTACCGGAAAGAGATTAGAGGGTTTCAATTCGACTGTTTTCATTTTTTTGTAAACCTGATATTACAATCTGCCACCACCAAGTGGATTTGGAGCAAAAGTTAAATATTGACTGCACAAACGTGAAAAACGAATGTCTCAAGGCAGCAGTTCACAGTATTTACCCCAACCAAATTCAGAGTATGAGCAGCGCAAGGCACCCACTCTGCCAATTGGTTGATCTCTCGTATGCTTGATTGCAGGGCTTTGTTTATTTTTTTATTACCTTTATTTAACTAGGCAAGTCAGTTAAGAACAAATTCATATTTACAATGACGCCTACACCGGCCAAACCCGGACGACGCTGGGCCAATTGTGCGCCGCCCTATGGGACTCCCAATCACGGCCGGTTGTGATACAGCCTGGAATCGAACCAGGGGGTCTTTAGTGACGCCTCAAACACTGAGATGCAGTGCCTTAGACCGCTGCGCCACTCGGGAGTCCTTTTGTGTCTTAGTGTTGTACAGAAAAAGAACCAGTCAGTTTGGGTATTTTTGGTTTAAGTTCTTGGTCCTGCTGTTTTCTTATCTGTAGTCTTCTTTTCGGGGCCCCACACAGGCCACTCACTTTTTCCCACCATTTTCAGTAGGCAGGCTAGCTAGCAAGATTTTGTAACCACGTTACATCGCATACATGTCATGCCATATATAGTAACACATGACTCATGCCATATATGGTAACACATGACTCACACAATTGACCAGTTGCATTTATTTATTATGCAGTTGATTTATTTTAATTTTTTATTCATCAGTTACCCAATCAAGGCAGAGCCCCCCCAGTTATCCACGTGGACCCCCTACCTCCTCTCCTCCCCCATCTGATGATTAGCGGAGCGGCAGCAGGCAACAGCAGGCTGTCTACACTAATTGAGAGCGGACTGCTGAGTCCTCCTGTAGTTGGTGGTTGCAGTAAAAAAATGATATATATACAGCTGTGGGAAAAATTAAGAGACCACTGCAAAATTATCAGTTTCTCTGGTTTTACTATTTATAGGTATGGGTTTGGGTAAAAATAACATTTTTGTTTTATTCTATAAACTACTGACAACATTTCTCCCAAATTCCAAATAATAGTATTGTCATTTAGAGATTTTATTTACAGAAAATGACAACTGGTCAAAATAACAAAAAAGATGCAGTGTTGTCAGACCTCGAATAATGCAAAGAAAATAAGTTAATGTTCATTTTTAAACAACACAATACTAATGTTTTAACTAAGGAAGAGTTCAGAAATCAGTATTTGGTGGAATAACCCTGATTTTCAATCACAGCTTTTATGCATCTTGGCATGCTCTCCACCAGTCTTTCACATTGATGTTGGGTGACTTTATGCCACTCCTGGTGCAAAAATTCAAGCAGCTCGGCTTTGTTTGATTGCTTGTGACCATCTATCTTCCTCTTGATCACATTCCAGAAGTTTTCAATGGGGTTCAGGTCTGGAGATTGGGCTGGCCATGACAGGGTCTTGATCTGGTGGTCCTCCATCCACACCTTGATTGACCTGGCTGTGTGGCATGGCGCATTGTCCTGCTGGAAAAACCAATCCTCAGAGTTGGGGAACAATGTCAGAGCAAAAGGAAGCAAGTTTTCTTCCAGAACAACCTTGTACGTGGCTTGATTCATGCGTACTTCACAAAGACAAATCTGCCCGATTCCAGCCTTGCTGAAGCACCCCCAGATCATCACCGATCCTCCACCAAATTTCACAGTGGGTGCGAGACACTATGGCTTGTAGGCCTCTCCAGTTCTCCGTCTAACCATTAGACGACCAGGTGTTGGGCAAAGCTGAAAATTGGACTCATCAGAGAAGATTACCTTACTCCAGTCCTCTACGGTCCAATCCTTATGGTCTTTTGCAAACCTAAGCCTGGCTCTTCTTTGCTTCTCATTGATGAAGGGCTGCCCCTAGGAACCTGTTTCGAACCATCCTCGCCGTGCACTTCACCCCAGCTGCCGTTTGCCATTCTTTTTGTAGGTCACTTGATGTCATCCTACGGTTGTCGAGTGACATTCGAATGAGTTGGCGGTCATCCCGGTCAGTAGAGAGTCGTTTTCGCCCTCTGCCGGTCTGTAGCTTTGTTGTCCCCAATGTCTGCTGCTTGACCTTGTTCTTATGAACCGCCGTCTTTGAAATTTTAAGGATGCAAACAACCTGACGCTCACTGTACCCCTCTGCCAGTAAAGCCAGAATTGAACCCTTCTTTTCCTCACTCAAAACTTTCCTTTTCAACTCTTTTGGCATGGTCAGTAGTTATTTTTTGATTAATATTACTTTTGAGGTACTATTAGCACTGTTTTTGCCATCCAGCTGGGCCTATTGCAAGAGGATAGTGATGACCACAGCAGTGGTTTTTATACTTTTCCTCGTTAAATAAGATTTGGTTCAGGTGATCACCTAATTCAGTAGAATGAGGTGTGCCTGGGTTGGAATTCAACAGACACTGGAATGGAATGGCTTTCATACATGTAGAGATGCTGATTTAAGAAAAATGTGCAGTGGTCTCTTAATTTTTTCCACAGCTGTATATACTACATACAGTGGGGGGGAAAAAAGTATTTAAGTTCTCCCACTTAAAAAGATGAGGCCTGTAATTTTCATCATAGGTACACGTCAACTATGACAGACAAAATGAGAAAAAAATATCCAGAAAATCACATTGTAGGATTTTTTTATGAATTTATTTGCAAATTATGGTGGAAAATAAGTATTTGGTCAATAACAAAAGTTTCTCAATACTTTGTTATATACCCTTTGTTGGCAATGACACAGGTCAAACGTTTTCTGTAAGTCTTCACAAGGTTTTCACACACTGTTGCTGGTATTTTGGCCCATTCCTCCATGCAGATCTCCTCTAGAGCAGTGATGTTTTGGGGCTGTCGCTGGGCAACACGGACTTTCGACTCCCTCCAAAGATTTTCTATGGGGTTGAGATCTGGAGACTGGCTAGGCCACTCCAGGACCTTGAAATGCTTCTTACGAAGCCACTCCTTCGTTGCCCGGGCAGTGTGTTTGGGATCATTGTCATGCTGAAAGACCCAGCCACGTTTCATCTTCAATGCCCTTGCTGATGGAAGGAGGTTTTCACTCAAAATCTCACGATACATGGCCCCATTCATTCTTTCCTTTACACGGATCAGTCGTCCTGGTCCCTTTGCAGAAAAACAGCCCCAAAGCATGATGTTTCCACCCCCATGCTTCACAGTAGGTATGGTGTTCTTTGGATGCAACTCAGCATTCTTTGTCCTCCAAACACGACGAGTTGAGTTTTTACCAAAAAGTTCTATTTTGGTTTCATCTGACCATATGACATTCTCCCAATCCTCTTCTGGATCATCCAAATGCACTCTAGCAAACTTCAGACGGGCCTGGACATGTACTGGCTTAAGCAGGGGGACACGTCTGGCACTGCAGAATTTGAGTCCCTGGCGGCGTAGTGTGTTACTGATGGTAGGCTTTGTTACTTTGGTCCCAGCTCTCTGCAGGTCATTCACTAGGTCCTCCCGTGTGGTTCTGGGATTTTTCTCACCGTTCTTTGGATCATTTTGACCCCACGGGGTGAGATCTTGCGTGGAGCCCCAGATCGAGGGAGATTATCAGTGGTCTTGTATGTCTTCCATTTCCTAATAATTGCTCCCACAGTTGATTTCTTCAAACCAAGCTGCTTACCTATTGCAGATTCAGTCTTCCCAGCCTGGTGCAGGTCTACAATTTTGTTTCTGGTGTCCTTTGACAGCTCTTTGGTCTTGGCCATAGTGGAGTTTGGAGTGTGACTGTTTGAGGTTGTGGACAGGTGTCTTTTATACTGATAACAAGTTCAAACAGGTGCCATTAATACAGGTAACGCGTGGAGGACAGAGGAGCCTCTTAAAGAAGAAGTTACAGGTCTGTGAGAGCCAGAAATCTTGCTTGTTTGTAGGTGACCAAATACTTATGGTGGAAAATAATTTGCAAATAAATTCATTTAAAATCCTACTGTGATTTTCTGGGGAAAAAAATCTCAATTTGTCTGTCATCGTTGACGTGTACCTATGATGAAAATTACAGGCCTCTCTCATCTTTTTAAGTGGGAGAACTTGCACAATTGGTGGCTGACTAAATACTTTTTTCCCCACTGTATATTAGATTTATTTTACTTTTGACTTCTTCTTTTTTTTGCTGCCTCTTTGGCCCCCCATGGGCTTCAGCCCCGGAAAGCCCCTGCATTAAGCCGGCCCTGCTCACAGTATGATCTTTGCTTTTGAGGTTTATTTTTACAGTCTATGGCTCGAGGACACTGCGCAGACACAGTGATCTGAGCTATCTGATTGGCCGGCAGTAAGCCTGTAGGTGCGCTTGATTTGTTAGTTCTACCTTCAGACATGAAATGGTTCAAAATGGGAACACTGCCTTCCCAGCGCTAGGGCTGCTGAATCAAGTGCAACCACCTACAACAGCGTGAAACTAATAAGAAAATAGGAACGCAAGGCTTTATCGTTGGGTTTTTTACAGAAAGGTTTGGTGATCGACTAGGAATGCCTTGGAGAGCGACCAGTTGATCGCAATCGACTGGTTGGTGACCACTGATGTAAAGAGAGGCTTTGATGCTACTGGTCGGCCATCTTGGCACTCCCCAGAAGGAGAAGTCCTCCATAGGAATGAATGGAATTCTACAGTATTTTTGTTGTAGTGGGGACAGTAACATATAAGGAGGAGAGGAGACTCTCATACAGCCATAAAGGTTGGCACACTACTAACCCAGCAAACTATGAAACTGATGCTGATCAGTTTTCAGAGTTGTGTTATTTCTCAATTTAATAGATTTCTGTTGAATGCAAGCTCTTCAACGTATCTGAAAGGGTGCTCTTTTGGGTTAATACCAAAGATACACACAGGCCTGTATTTAATTTGCATTACATTTTCATCATATAATGCTGTGCGAATGTACTAGCAAGAGTTTTCTTTAAAAAAGTATGCTAAATTAAGTTTGTTCATGAAAGGCCAAATGAAAAGGCATCATCATCTTTTAACGTAAAGTGGAAAGCAGAGGGCAGTCTTCTGACAGTGCATCCTTTTCTACATTTCTTAGGGCTGAATAACGTGAAGGAGGACCCCAAGTCTGCAGGCATTGCCACCTTTGTAATCCAGGAGGAGTTTGACCGCTTCACGGGCTACTGGTGGTCGCCAGCTGCTCCTGAAGGTGACGTCTTCATGGACGGTTTTTGTGATGCTTGTCCTTATGTTTCCTTTCCCTCTACCAGAGATGTAGCTTTTGACTGAACAGGAACTCCTGATATTTCTGGTCTTCCGAAAATTTGAAATTAATGTATCTTTATCTTATTTAAAATGCATTATGATTTTCATTAATAGTTTAAGTTTAGTAAAAAAATAAGGTTAGTTCAAAATCTTACTGGATTATTGAAGACAAATTCCACTAGGTTAGACTCTTCAATCCACTAACACAAAGCACATTGCCTTTGGGCACATACTTGCTGTTGAATAAAACGGCTAACTCAATATGTTTCTCTCTTTCTCTTTCAGACCCAGATGGGGGGAAGACCCTCCAGTTACTGTATGAGGAGGTGGATGAGTCAGAGGTGGAGTTAATTCACGTTCCCTCCCCAGCCCTGGAGGAGCGCAAGGCTGATGTTTACAGATACCCCCGCACAGGTCTGCTCTCACCCCCACCCCAAATTGCCTTTTTTAAAGTATTAATAGTACTGATTCATAACTTTTTAACAAACTGTATTGGCTACTATCTACATTTTCATGTGGACTATTGTGGCTAGGCAGAGTTGGAATGTATTTCAGTAACTTGAGCTATTGAACAGGAGTACCAGACAAGACATGATATCGAAGACGGGTACCTTATATCGCCCTCCTCTAAAAATGTTTATTTTCAGGGAGTAAGAATCCTCAAATTACTTTCAAACTGGCAGAAATCAGAACCGACCACCTTGGCAGAGTAAGCTCATCTTCAAAAGTTCTCATGGTTTTGAACTGTTGGTCTGTCTTCGTATTCTGTATGTCTACCTGTATGTTGCTTTCTGTTCCTGTTTTGTGGTCCTCTATGTGTTCTGTATGTCTACCTGTATGTTGCTTTCTGTTCCTGTTTTGTGGTCCTCTATGTGTTCTGTATGTCTACCTGTATGTTGCTTTCTGTTCCTGTTTGGTGGTCCTCTATGTGTTCTGTATGTCTACCTGTATGTTGCTTTCTGTTCCTGTTTGGTGGTCCTCTATGTGTTCTGTATGTTGCTTTCTGTTCCTGTGTTGTGGTCCTCTGTGTTCTGTATGTCTACCTGTATGTTGCTTTCTGTTCCTGTTTGGTGGTCCTCTATGTGTTCTGTATGTTGCTTTCTGTTCCTGTGTTGTGGTCCTCTGTGTTCTGTATGTCTACCTGTATGTTGCTTTCTGTTCCTGTTTGGTGGTCCCCTATGTGTTCTGTATGTTGCTTTCTGTTCCTGTGTTGTGGTCTCTGTGTGTTCTGTATGTTGCTTTCTGTTCCTGTGTTGTGGTCCTCTTGTGTTCTGTATGTCTACCTGTATGTTGCTTCTTTTCGTTGGTGGTCCTCTATGTGTTCTGTATGTTGCTTTCTGTTCCTGTGTTGTGGTCCTCTGTGTTCTGTATGTTGCTTTCTGTTCCTGTGTTGTGGTCCTCTGTGTTCTGTATGTTGCTTTCTGTTCCTGTGTTGTGGTCCTCTGTGTTCTTTGGCTTGTCTGTTGTCTTGGTTCTGTGTTTTGTGGTCCTCTGTGTTCTGTATGTTGCTTTCTGTTCCTGTGTTGTGGTCCTCTGTTTTCTGATGTTGCTTCTGTCCTGTGTGTGGTCCTCTGTGTTCTGTATGTTGCTTTCTGTTCCTGTGTTGGGGTTCTGTATTGTTCTTTCTGTTCTGTGTTTTTGGTCTCCTGTGTGTTCTGTATGTTGCTTTCTGTTCCTGTGTTGTGGTCCTCTGTGTGTTCTGTATGTTGCTTTCTGTTCCTTTGTTGTGGTCCTCTGTGTTCTGTATGTTGCTTTCTGTTCCTGTGTTGTGGTCCTCTGTGTTCTGTATGTTGCTTTCTGTTCCTGTGTTGTGGTCCTCTGTGTTCTGTATGTTGCTTTCTGTTCCTGTGTTGTGGTCCTCTGTGTTCTGTATGTTGCTTTCTGTTCCTGTGTTGTGGTCCTCTGTGTTCTGTATGTTGCTTTCTGTTCCTGTGTTGTGGTCCTCTGTGTTCTGTATGTTGCTTTCTGTTCCTGTGTTGTGGTCCTCTGTGTTCTGTATGTTGCTTTCTGTTCCTGTGTTGTGGTCCTCTGTGTGTTCTGTATGTTGCTTTCTGTTCCTGTGTTGTGGTCCTCTGTGTGTTCTGTATGTTGCTTTCTGTTCCTGTGTTGTGGTCCTCTGTGTTCTGTATGTTGCTTTCTGTTCCTGTGTTGTGGTCCTCTGTGTTCTGTATGTTGCTTTCTGTTCCTTTGTTGTGGTCCTCTGTGTTCTGTATGTCACTCAATGCCTATCTGCCTATTCTTCTGATTCCTTGTTATTCATCATTAGATTGTGAGCACCCAGGACAAGGAGCTGGTCCTGCCTTTTACCACTCTGTTCCCTGGGGTAGAGTACATCGCCCGCGCCGGCTGGACAAAAGACGGCAAATAGTGAGTTCAAAAGACTGGAACAGACACAACTAAGCGACGCTATCTATGCCACGGAATGGATTATATCTGTGATGTAAAAGTATAATTGTTCTTATCATTGAGTAAAGTCCTTATAAAGATGAAAACGGCACCAAGCCTTGTGGTTTCATCTCATAGATATATATATATATATATATATATATATATATATATATATATATATATATATATATATATATATATATATATATATATATATATATATATATATATATATATATTTTTTTTTTTTTTTACCAGGTGAGTCAGTTAAGAATAAATGTATATTTACAATGACAGCCCGATCATGTTACGTAGGTCAACACCACCTGAAGTTCTATTCCATTCCACACTCACCAGCAATCTGGACTAGTCCTCACACCATTGTGCTACCGGCTGGGCTGAAATGGCAAGTTACCCACTCCTGGTGGGCGACAGTTGTCTTGAGGTCTCCACCAAGGCAAACGTCACCGCAACCAGAAACCAATAGCCAATCAATCTCCTCTACACATTATATTCCATCATGCTCCTGGTTTAATGCGGGTCGGTTATCTGTTGAACCGCACCCATCTCTTCTTTCCAGAGGGGTATATCACAGAGCATGACCAAAAAGTTAGCCAGCTACTGTAACTTTGATTTGAAATTCAGATATACTGTAACAAATTATTTTCCATTTTATTTATTTTTTATTTTATTTCACCTTTATTTAACCAGGTAAACCAGTTGAGAACAAGTTCTCATTTACAACTACGACCTGGCCAAGATAAAGCAAAGCAGTGCGATAAAAACAACAACACAGAGTTACATATGGGGTAAAACAAAACAAAGTCAAAAATACAACAGAAATACATATAATATACAGTGTGCAAATTTAGCAAGTTATGGAGGTAAGGCAATAAAATAGGCTATAGTGCAAAATAATTACAATTAGTATTAACACTGGAATGATAGATGTGCAAGAGATGATGTGCAAATAGAGATACTGGGGTACAAATGAGCAAAATAAATAACAATATAGGGATGAGGTAGTTGGGCGGGCTAATTTCAGATGGGCTGTGTACAGGTGCAGTGATCGGTAAGGTGCTCTGACAACTGATGCTTAAAGTTAGTGAGGGAGATAAGTGTCTCCAGCTTCAGAGATTTTTGCAATTTGTTCCAGTCATTGGCAGCAGAGAACTGGAAGGAATTGCGGCCAAAGGAGGTGTTGGCTTTGGGGATGACCAGTGAGATATACCCGCTGGAGCGCAGACTACGGGTGGGTGTTGCTATGGTGACCAATGAGCTAAGATAAGGCGGGGATTTGCCTAGCAGTGATTTATAGATGGCCTGGAGCCAGTGGGTTTGGCGACGAATATGTAGTGAGGACCAGCCAACAAGAGCGTACAGGTCACAGTGGTGGGTATTATATGGGGCTTTGGAGACAAAACGGATGGCACTGTGATAGACAACATCCAATTTGCTGAGTAGAGTGTTGGAGGCTATTTTGTAAATGACATCGCCGAAGTCAAGGATCGGTAGGATAGTCAGTTTTACGAGGATTTTAATTAAAATAGTACATATACCCTTTCAATTTCAAGCCCATCTTTCTCTACATGAACTACGAAATATGGAATTTATAAGGCTATTTAGGAACGTTAGCCAGCTAATTATTTGATCCTGTCTTGTAACATAACCCACTGCTTCTCTGTGCAGTGCATGGGCAGTGCTGCTGGACAGGAGTCAACAGAGGCTCCAGTTGGTCCTGCTTCCCCCGGCCCTGTTCATCCCTGTAACCCAGGACCAGGCCCAACGAGAGGAGAGCGTGGAGGCTGTGCCAGAGGGGGTCCACCCCTTCATCATCTATGAGGAGATCACCGACATCTGGATCAACGTGAGTTAAAATAACTCTGGCTTTGGCTCTAAGGCCTAGATTCTGACTTGGAACTCAATATGTCATAGAAATCATCCTTACTGCTTGCAGTGCCCTGATTTGCACAAAGTTGAAGTTACATGCCTGTGTCGGATATGGCTGTTACTTGTACTTGCAATTTTTTATTGGTTAGTTAGTAGTCACATGAATGTTAAGTTACAATTCTCTTCCAATGATGCAATTTGAAATGAAAATATTTAGTGTTAACCTTTTGAAACCTGCAAATGCTTTTTCTTTTAGGGCTCATATTATGTCAAGGCTTTTTCTTTGTTTCAGGTCCATGACATCTTTTATCCTTTCGTTCAAACAAATGATGATGAGATCACCTTCCTCTGGGCGAACGAGTCCAAAACTGGCTTCTGCCATTTGTACAAGGTCACCACACTGTTACAACAAGGCTGCTACGAGTGGACCAGAGGCTACACGCAGACAGAGGGTAGCAGAATACACTTTTCTTTATACTCTGTTAGATTTATGTATTACTGGTAAAGACTTGAATAGAGGTGTACCTTCCAAATCTATTTCTGATAATGTTTTGGTAGGTCAACTCCACAGGAGGCTGCTGAGGGGAGGACGACTGATAATAATGGCTGGAATGGGTATCAAATACATGGAAACCACATGTTTGATACCATTCCATTTATTCCGTTCCAGCCATTATTATGAGCATGTCCTCCACAGTTAAGGTGCCACCAGCCACATGTGGTCAACTCATTTAGTCTACTCGTTGTTCCCTTCAGAGGACTTTAAGTGCCCGATTAAGGAGGAGGTGACGTTAACCAGTGGGGAGTGGGAGGTGTTGGCCAGACATGGCTCCAAGGTAAGCCCTAGACACACACCTCTTATCTAAATGAAAGCCTGAAGGGTTTTGCCATTTTAAGGTGGGGAGCACGGAAATCACCCCATTTTGGGCCACAGCCCTCTGTCACCGCTCATCAGCTATCACAGTAGAAAGGTGATGATATGCATAAGCAAAACATCCCAGTCATAAGAGTTGTTGTCTTCCCTCTCTCCCCCCTCAGATCTGGGTGAACGAGGCCACCCAGCTGGTGTACTTCCAGGGCACGCGGGACACGCCCCTGGAGCATCACCTATACACTGTGAGCTACGACTCCCCGGGGGACATGGTCAGGCTGACCAAGCAAGGCTTCTCCCACAGCTGCTCCGTAAGCCAGGTAGGTGCTGTCTGGACCAGACCTGCTCTCACACATCCTTCAGTCTCCATGTTTCCCATACCATACAAACCACATTACCTAAGTGGCAAGCTCAGGCATCTTATTTTTTCCTTGAAATGAAGCATGGCGTTTTGGGCTTTTTAGCTTTTTGAGGATTCAGTTGACCTCACCTGCTGTTATGTTTCTGCTCTCTCTCTCTGTAGAATTTTGACATGTTTGTCAGCCATTACAGCAACGTCAGCACGCCTCCCTGCGTCCACATCTACAAGCTGATAGGCCCAGAGAGTGACCCACTGCACAAAGAGCCAGAGTTCTGGGCCAGCATGATGGAGGCCACAGGTGAGTAAGAAGGGAACTATGGGGGGGGGGGGGGGGGGGGGGGGGGGGGGGGGGGGTCAGTTAGGGCTGGGGATTGCCAGGGACCTCACGATACGATATAACGATACTTGGGTGCCGATACGATATGTATTGCGATTCGATATGCAATTTTATTGCGATTTGATGTTCCAAACATATTCCTCACTATATGTCTGCTGCAGAGAGACGAGAGAGCATGAGAAAATTAGTTTTGATCAGTTATGGAAATAAAAGTGCTGAAAACATGTTGGCTCACTATTTAAAAAGATGATGGAAAACAAGCTATAGGATGAAAAATACCAGAGTTTTGGCGCAGGTACAGCCAACTAGCGCTAGCTAATGCTACCTAGCAAAAAAAATACATACATACATACATATGTGCATTCGGAAAGTGTTCAGACCCATTGACTTTTTCCACATTTTGTTGCGTTACAGCCTTATTCTAAAATTGATTTTTTAAAATCCTCATCAATCTACACACAATACCCCATAATGACAAAGTGAAAACAGGTTTTTAGACGTTTTTGCTCATTTATTAAAAATAAAAAACAGAAATATCTTATTTACATAAGTATTCAGACCCTTTGCTATGAGACTCGAAATTGAGCTCAGATGCATCCTGTTTCCATTGATCATCCTTGAGATGTTTCTATAACTTGATTGGAGTCCACCTGTGGTAAATTCAATTGATTGGACATGATTTGGAAAGGATTGTGTCGAGGCACAAAAAATGTCTGCATCATTCTTAAATAGAAGAAGTTTGGAACCACCAAGACTCTTCCTAGAGCTGGCCGCCGGGCCAAACTGAGCAATCGGGGGAGAAGGTCCTTGGTCAGGGTGGTGACCAAGAACCTGAAGGTCACTCTTGACAGAGCTCCAGAGTTCCTCTGTGGAGATGGGAGAACCTTAGTGAAGGACAACCTTCTCTGCAGCACTCCACCAATCAGGCCTTTATGGTGGAGTGGCCAGACGGAAGCCACTCCTCAGTAAAAGGCACATGACAGCCCGCTTGGAGTTTGCCAAAAGGCACCTGAAGTACTCAGACCATGAGAAACAAGATTCTCTGGTCTGATGAAACCAAGATTGAACTCTTTTTGGCCTGAATGCCAAGTGTCATTTCTGGAGGAAACCTGGCACCACCCCTACGGTCAAGCGTGGTGGCTAGGGCTGTGGCGAAATTTCGTCAGTGGTGATTGTCAAGCAAATAAGCATAGTGGTGGCAGCATCATGCTGTGGGGATGTTTGTCAGCAGCAGGGACAGGGAGACTAGTCAGGATTGAGGGAAAGATGAACGGAGCAAAGTACAGAAATCCTTGATGAAAACCTGCTCCAGAGCGCTCAGGACCTCAGACTGGGGCGAAGGTTTACCTACCAACAGGTCAACGACCCTAAGCACACAGCCAAGACACCACAGGAGGTCTGAATGTTCTTGAGTGGCCCAGCCAGAGCCTGGACTTGAACCTGATCGAACATGAGACCTGACAATAGCTGTGCAGCGACTCTCCCCATCCAACCTGACAGAGCTTGAGAGGATCTGCATAGAAGAATGGGAGCAACTCCCCAAATACAGGTGTGCCAAGCTTGTAGCGTCATACCCAAGAAGACTTGAGGCTGTAATCGCTGCCAAAGGTGCTTCAACAAAGTACTGAGTAAAGGGTCTGAATACTTATTTAAATGTCATATTTCTGTTTTTTTATTTTATTATACGTCTGCAAAAATTTCTAAACTTGTTTTTGCTTTGTCATTATGGGGTATTGTGTCTGTAGATTTATTGAAAAAACAAACAATTTAATCCATTTTAGAATAAGGCTGTAACGTAACAAAATGTTATCTGCAGTTGACCTCGATAGTGATATGCATTTGACTTCATATTAATGTTGGTGTTAATGTTATTTCTCAGGGCGCCCAGGAGATTACATTCCACCAGAGATCTTTAATTTCCCAGGGAAGTCAGGGTTCCACCTCTACGGCATGTTGTACAAACCACACAACTTTGTACCTGGCAGGAAGCACCCCACAATCCTCTTTGTGTATGGAGGCCCCCAGGTTTGTTCAATCAAAATAATTTTCTTCTGTAATATAGTCTGTTTGTGACAGTTGGGATTTCAAGGCTAGTTATAAAAATATAGATATATGTTAAAGGTTTTATCTCGTATGTTTTTAATGTTGAGGGGGTGGGGGGGTTTGTGTGCTCCAGGTGCAGTTAGTAAATAACACATACAAAGGAGTGAAGTACCTGAGGCTGAACACGCTAGCGTCACTAGGCTACGCCGTCGTGGTCATCGATGGGAGAGGCTCCTGTCAGAGAGGCCTCAAGTTTGAGGGGGCTCTGAAAAACAAAATGGTAAACAGTAACACAACTTCACATCTCTACTAACCATACACTGGTGTTGTAGGTGTCAGTCTTTTCCCTAGGTTTTTTTTATTAGCAGCAGTAAAAAACAATTGCAGTGCGGTGCACCACTGCTAAATTAATATAGGGGAAACACTGAGGTATTGAAAAAATTAGATTTCTGCATTGCCAGTTTGATCACTCTGTATTACCAGAGTTGTGTTCAGTAAGGGACAATGTAGCAACATCAAAAAGGGCATTCTTATTGGACCAGCCCAGATAGTACGTCCCCGTTTCACTACGTAAAAAAAAAAGTGTTCTCCTGTTTGGTGCCTTCATGCCAGTCGTGACATTCCTTTCCCCGTCTGTGGTTCTCAGGGCCAGGTGGAGATCGAGGACCAGGTAGAGGGCCTGCAGTACGTGGCCGAAAAGTTCACTTTTGTGGACCTGAGTCGCGTGGCCATCCACGGCTGGTCTTACGGTGGCTTCCTCTCCCTCATGGGCCTCGTCCACAGGCCCAACGTCTTCAAGGTGAGGGGAAAGTTCAGTCGTCCGCAGGCCCAACGTCTTCAAGGTGAGGGGAAAGTTCACTTGTCCGCAGGCCCATCATCTTCAAGGTGAGGGGAAAGTTCACTCGTCCGCAGGCCCAATGTCTTCAAGGTGAGGGGAAAGTTCAAAGTCTCCACTGAAAAACTTTAGGGGATTATTCTTTGGACTAGGTCATAACTTCACATCACATGCGTTCTGTGTAAAAAAATTATTTGTGATGGAATGCTGTGTAGCTCTATGGCCTTGAACCATGAAGGGGTAGTAATGTGGCCCAGCCCTGGTTAAGTCAACAAGCTCAAAATATTGACTCTAAAACTGAATGTAACACTTGACTGGGTGTACATATGGTTACTCTTCACTCTTAATCAGTTAACATTGTAGAATTACAATCTCAAGTCATTTTAGCATTCATTTAAAAGCCCGGTTGATTTGAGCTGTCCTTGTTTGGTCCAGGTGGCCATAGCGGGCGCCCCTGTGACGGTGTGGATGGCCTACGACACAGGCTACACGGAGCGCTACATGGACCTGCCTGAGAACAACCAGCAGGGATACGAAGCCGGCTCCGTCGCCTTGCACGTAGACAAGCTGCCCAGCGAGTGAGTCATCACCATTCATTACCGTTTACTGTCAACCTCAGGGTGCTTCACAGGCAATACGTAAATGCAGCAGTAAAGAGACTCCAAAGTGCAGCTGTGCAGAACTGTCCTGCAGCACTGTTTATCACTTGTTTTTGGTATTGTCCTGATGGGACAGACTTGCTTGCAATTTATGTCTCAATTAGCCTGGTCCCAGATCTGTTTGTTCTCTATAGCCAACTCTTATGACAATTACCATAGGAATTGGCTATACAGCACGAACAGATCTGGGACCAGGATAAGTTTCGATGCGAGGGGAAATTAGATTAGTTTTTAACTTTCCTAGAGATAATCTTTTATATTTTGTTTTCCTACCCAGGCCTAACCGGTTACTTATATTACATGGATTCCTTGACGAGAATGTGCACTTTTTCCACACCAACTTCCTGGTGTCTCAACTGATCCGTGCGGGGAAGCCATATCAGCTACAGGTAGGAGGGCAGTAGGTTTAGTTGTGTACATTTAAGTCCGTGTAAGATGGGGCACAACACACACTGTGTTCATTCAACTTCATTGTAGAAATTGGAGAGTGATGATGAGAGAATTGTATATGTGCAGTGGAACCTTTTCCCAGGCTTTAGCTGACATGTTGGTGAAAACAAACAAACACGCACTCACTACAAAGAAGAAAAGTGTGGGACTCATTTATTTTTCAAAGCCTCTTTTCAGAGCACATAAAAAGCAACATCTTATAAATGGTGCTTCCTTGCCGGGGGCTTTCTCTTTCCTCCATATCTGATCCTTTGTCTCCGTCTCTTCAGATCTACCCCAACGAGAGACACAGCATCCGCTGCCCAGAGTCTGGAGAGCACTATGAGATTATGCTGCTGCACTTCCTCCAGCAGTACCTCTGAGGGCTGCAGTTGAACAGACTGAGCCCTACCCACTCTTCCTCCTCCCCCCCCCCCCCCCCCCATTGCCCAATGTCACCATGCCCCTTCACATACACCACAGGAGGCTGGTGAGGGGAGGACTGGTCATAATAATAGCTGGAATGGAGTGAATGGAATGGTATCAAACATGTCTGATGTATTTGAAACCATTCCATTTATTCCGTTCCATCCATTACTATTAGCCCGTCCTCCCCAATTAAGGTGCCACCAACCACCTGTGACAAACACACTTTATGTGCCCCACCACCATCTGCCATTTGCGTCCGATCCCTCACAGCACTCTTAAAAACTGGGATTTTTTTAGAGCAGCCCTCCCATGCTACCAACCCCTAACCACGCCGAGAGCAGAGGGTTGTCACCTGTCAGTTTTTAACTGGACAATGACTGCAAAGAAGGAAAAGAGTAAAAAATATAGAATGAACACTGAGCATTTTGAGAAAAAGAGCTCATTAGCATCTTGGAGTGATTCTCTGTTTTTATCTGGGATTTTTGTGCCACACCCTGTTAGCAAGGGGGACCAGTATGAGTATGAAAATGTATGGACTCAATACTGTAAGTCGCTCTGGATAAGAGTGACTGCAAATGACATAAATGTAAATGTTTTGTTTGTTAATACTTTGGACTGTGCTGTTAGTCATGGTGGATTACACGGTGTTGTGTGGTGAGCCAAATGGCGTGGCAGCTGCGGACGGAAACCACACACTATTACCTGCAACTGGTATTTTAAGTGTGTATTAAAAGAAAAAAGTGTTTTTAGGAATTCTTCTTTTATAACGAGTGTCAAATGTAGCAAGTTCTTAAAAGACTACTATCTCCTCCTCGGCCATTTCACTCTAGTGATCAATAGTCTTTGCTGAGCTTGTCGCCTTAGACGACGCAGGCTTCTTTTAGCTTTTGAAACCTTTCACTGACTTTCATCTCAATCGCAATGTTAAATTTATTAATAGGGTCACATGCATTCAGTATTCAGACCCCTTCCCGTTTTCCACATTATGTTACATTACAGCCTTATTCTAAAATGGATTTAAAAAATGTTTTCCCTCATCAATCTACACACAATACCCCATCATGACAAAGTGAAAACAGGGTTTTAGAAATGTTTGCAAATGTATTCAAAATAAATAAAAACTGAAAATACCTTATTTACAATAGTATTCAGACCCTTTGCTATGAGACTCGAAATTGAGCTCAGGTGCATCCTGTTTCCATTGACCATCCTTGAGATGTTTCTACAACTTGATTGGAGTCCACTTGTGGTAAATTCAATTGATTGGACATGATTTGGAAAGGCACACACCTGTCTATATAAGGTCCCACAGTTGACAGTGCATGTCAGCAAAAACCAAGCCATGAGGTCGAAGGAATTGTCCGTAGAGCTCCGAGACTGGATTGTGGCAAGGCACAGATCTGGGGAAGGGTACCAAAACATTTCTGCAGTATTGAAGGTCCCCAATAACACAGTGGCCTCTATCATTCTTACATGGAAGAAGTTTGGAACCACCAAGACTCTTCCTAGAGCTGGCTGCCCGGCCAAACTGAGCAATCGGGGGAGAAGGTCCTTGGTTTGGGAGGTGACCAAGAACCCGATGGTCACTGACAGAGCTCCAGAGTTCCTGTGTGGAGATGGGAGAACATTACAGAAGGACAACTGTCTCTGCAGCACTCCACCAATCAGGCCTTTATGGTAGAGTGGCCAGATGGTAGCTCTCCTCAGGAAAAGGCACATGACAGCCCGCTTGGAGTTTCCAAAAGGCACCTGAAGGACTCTGACCATGAGAAACAAGATTCTCTGGTCTGATGAAACCAAGATTGAACTCTTTGGCCAGAATGCGAAGCGTCACGTCTGGTGGAAACCTGGCACCATCCCTATGGTGAAGCATGGTAGTGGCAGCATCATGCTGTGGGGATTGATGAGAGAGAGTTTTTTTTTTATATACACTTTAGAATAAGGCTGTAATGGGGCCTCCCGAGTGGTCTAAGGCACTGCATCACTACAGCCTGGGGTTCAATCCCAACACAGTATAAAAATGTATGCACTCACTAACTGTAAGTCGCTCTGGACAAGAGCGTCTGCTAAATGACTAAATGAAAAAAAACAGGCCATGACCGGGAGTCCAATAGGGCGGCCCACAATTTTCCCAGTGTCGTCCGGGTTAGGGGAGGGTTTTGCCGGGGGGGGGGGGGGGCTTTACTTGGCTCATCGCGCTCTAGCGACTCCTTGTAGCGGGCCGGGCGCATGCAAGCTGACTTCGGTTGTCAGTTGAATGGTGTTTCCTCCGACACATTGGTGAGGCTGGCTTCTGGGTTAAGCGAGCGGGTGTTAAGAAGCGCGGCTTGGTGGGTCATGTTTCGGGGGACGCATGCCTCAACCTTTGCCTCTCCGGAGCCCGTTGGGGAGTTGCAGAGATGTGACAAGATCGCAATTGGATATCATGAAATTGGGGAGAGAAAGGGGGTAAAATAACAAAAATAAAATAAGGCAGTGACGTAACAAAATGTGAAAAAAAGTCAAGGGGTCTGAATACTTTCCGAATGCACTGTAACTCGCTGTTATCGGTCATATGCTACAAAAACAACCCCTGGCAATCTTGCACCTTTATTGTAAGGTTGGCTAATTTATGTTCTATGCATTCAGTGTTCTGTTTCTATTGGGCGTTGGCCATTTATGCAAATGAGACAGGATAACCCTTAATTTATAAGTTGGGTAAAACTAAGCTTTCTTGTGGTTGTATCTGTAATTTTAAGTGACACAGTTGTAGCAGTTATTTCCCTAGGGGAGCGGTATATTTTATGATGCTGTATGTCCTCTTCAGTACAACCTCAGAGTACAACTATGAACCTGCAGGATCCAGACAAAATAAGTCAATCAACCATTGCAAATATAACCAGCACTTTTACATTTCTTTAATAAGATATTTCGTTTGAAGTAGTTACATTCAAAGCATTTTGAAAATGGATAAATGTACAATATATTACTATTGAAAGTATAGAAATGACTATGACGTATCTCACATTTATTCCACAGACAAATGATAACAAATAAAATAAAAAACAGTTGGACCCTTTCAAAGGGTGTAAGTGCTACAATGCATCAGGCAATGTGACTGAACTAATGTCCACTGAGACAGTGAAATATGACATTGATCCTAAGTGAAAGAGATGTTCTTGCAAGATTGCTACACAAAAGGCAAATGTTATTATGAATAACAAAATTCATGGTAATCTGCTAACATGTTATTGACTTTGGCAAATCCAGTTCTTAACCTCACAAGCTCAGTATTGTTTGTACAATATTGTACACCATTTTTTTTGTGTACTATTTTTATTCTGAAGGTCTAATAATAACCTTGATCCACCGACGACTTGACTGTAGCTGGGGCAATTTTCAATACAGTGGTCCTCAGGGCATGGTTGGTCTTCCAAAATATCAGTTGCTTCCTTGGCTGTCGTCTTTGACGTATGTTGGGTTTTCTAGGGTACTTGCCATTCAGGTTGGATTGACCGCAGTTGCTGAACCACCAGCCACCTATGAGGAAACAAGACACTTGTTAGAGAACATACTATTAGATGAGAAGTTTCAAGAAGTTCAGTGAGGTTCAAGAAATATGCAATTTCAGAGTAAAATGTTCAAGAAACACTAAAATACCAGAGAGTTGCTTGGCACAGTTGACATCGGCGTTCAGATCGTTGTCTCTGTCGATAGTGGAGAAGGACAGTCCGGAGGGCCCGGTGGTTAAGCCATTTTCCAGGCTATCGCATATAGTCTTGGGGAGGTAGAGGGCGTAGTTACTCTCTTCTCCACCCAATCGGAATGTGTACTGCACAGACTGAGCCTCTCCCCTCCAATCAGACAGCTCCACCAGCAGTGTGAGCTCTTCCTGTTTGGTCAGAGTGTGGATGTTGTCCAGTCCCAGCCAAAACTCACCTAAAAGAGAATTAGAATCCAGATTATTCACATGAACGTGAACATTATTTAAATATTGGCTGTATTGAAAGGGTTTCCATATACATTTGCTCTAATAAAAGAACATACCTTTCAGGCTGCCAAAGCCTTTTTGATAGGCCTCCCATAATTGATTGAAATTCTGGGATCCATCTTGCCGTCTCTGGATGACCGTCCATCCACCTTCTGTAAAAGAAAAGACGGAGAGAGAGGGAATTAGCCAAGGAATGTTCCAATCGTTCCACAGCCAATGGTGTTTCCCTGTGCAAAGCAACTGTTCTTGGAGAAGCCTGTATCTGTCGGGGCAAATTCCAGCCGATGGCGATTTTAGAAGTTTAGAGCAACCAAGAACAAAACGATTTGAGTTTTTCTTTCACTCACCAGCAGTCATTTCACAGAAGACGTCAAAGGGCTGAGAGTTGCGAGGCTGGATGGCGTACACTCCATTATTTCTCTCCCCTTTCAGGAACAACTCATGGCAGTCCGTGGCCAACTCTGAAACAACAAAACCGATACACGTTGATCAGTAACCATTTCATATTCATTTAACGTATTCAGTGGCAACTTGTATAATGATCTAGGGCAATGCCAGCTGCTTATCAATGACTACATAGGAAGGGCTGAAGGAGAAATGTCTAGTATTTTTCTTAGGCTTTTGTAGCGTTCTCCTCCCTCAACAGCTGTAACAGTTCAGGATGGTGTAGAAAAAGAACTCGGAGGGATATGGTCTGGCTTTTGAAAAACTGGAGTAAAGGTTGTGTGTTGTTGAAGAGTAGGTCGTGTAAATGGGAGTGAATTGGAAATTCAACAAAATTGACTAGTGGGAGTGGATTCAATGTCCATATTCTATTAAGATGTATTAGGCTTACCAGTTAGAGAAGCGACTTCTTCAGTGTAATCCTTCAGTGCTATTTCCTGATGTTTCCGCCTGACAACGGACTTCACTCTCCTCTGTTTAACCTGAGGGAAAAGACAAACATGTCCCATCAGATATTGTACACACACATACACGCAATAGGGGGTATTGTACAGTACATACCTTGCCCTGGAGTGCCTGTAGGTGCATGTTCTGTTTCTCCAGTTCGTCCTGCTGTTGCCTTATTCTGTCCACCAGGTCATCTATCCATTTATTCTGTGCCTCCAGTAACCGCTGAGGAAAGAAGTGACACAAATGAGATCTGTTTTCTGTTTTTCGTTGTGTTCACAATCTCTTCTTAACTTCCGAAGATATTGATAATGTGGGACATGGATGTACTTTCCATAATTGCAGTATATTGAAGCTTGCCCCTTTACTTGAATACAGGACTTGACTCGTATAACTTCACTGTCCATCATCACAAGATCAAACTGTCAACGTGAGTCAGACCTGGGTACAAATACTATTTTCAATTTCAAAGGGTATTTCAATTACAAAGACATTTGGAAGTAAGTATTTTGATATTTTTTTTATTTAAAGTAATTAATTGGAATGTATTTGTAATTGGAATGTATTTGGAAATGCACTTTGAAAATACTAAAATACACTCATGCATTTGAACCAGGTCTGTTTGGTACTGTATTTGAAATGATGCATTTGGAATTACGTTTTTGAAAATATGTTCAAATAGTAGGCAATTTATAGGAAAGTATTTGAAATTACTTTAAAATACTTCCATTGAAGTAATTGATTCGGGCCACATTCTTTGAAAATACTAAAATACACAAACAAGTATTTAAATAACATGTATTAGAACCCTCTGATGTGAGTCAGCAGCTAACATTATTTTGGACCTCTGACTTTCGTTTTATTCAATTCATTTATTTATCATGTTATTAATCATATTTAATTAAGGAATGGAAGAAATACTCCCCGATTAATATTTTAGATATCACCCACAGTGTATTGTGAAAAAGTGGCAGATTGTTCACTTACCTGGATGAAGTTGGCATCATCACTGCGGTTGTTACTGCTGTTGTTCAGCTTCAGCCCCCGTCCTTGCTGCATTCCATCCACCCTCTCTTCTAGCCTGTCCATTCTCTGGCGCTCTGCCCTCAGCTCCTCTGCACTCGCATGTACCTCAGCAGACATGTTCACCACCTGGCTCTCTCTCTCCACCATCTCCTGGGCTCTGGTCTTCAATGCCTCCTCACCCTCCTGCAGGCTCTTGTTCTGCCTGCTCAAGTCAGCCACTGTGCCATTGAAGGCTTTCAGCTTGGTGGAGATGTCTCTTATCTGGCGCTTGGTTTTCTCCACGTGTTCTTTGAGGCCCTGGCCCAGCTGGAGAAGCCCGTGGGCCACCACGTTCATGTCATCCCAGGAGGCGTACTGAGCCCCTTCTCTCCCAAATGAGAAACTGGACCCCATATGGACCAAGACGGACGCTAACAGCAGTAGGAATGCCAGTGTTGGCTTCATCTTTGTTTTGACTAGTGTCTTTGGTCTAAGCACCAATACTAATCTTGGTTCAGCTCAGCTGGTGAAGTCTTGTTCTTTCTTCTGCTGCATAGCCTCAGAGGTTTATATATCCTGTTGGTCCCATGCTGCTGATACTAGGCAGTTCTGATTGGCTGCTCCTTGGGTAGTAGGGGTGTGGCAAGTAAAGTCTAACTCTCTCCATTGTCACTCTAGTCACATTCTTTTAGGGGACTTGGACCTTGAATAGCAATGAGCTGTCTGTGCAACTTTGATACTGACAACATAGATGTATCAATCAGAAACTTAAAAAAAAAAATATATATATATATAAAATATACCCTCCTAGTACATTATTGAAAGGACCAGTATGCATTCTGTGAAGTTAAAAAAATAAAGTAAGTAGCTTTGGCTTTTGTGATCCGGAACGGCTCAAAGGAGCAGGAGCCTATCTCCTGTTTCAGTAGCCTGAGGCAGCTTGATATACAAGTACACCCGCTGGATAGGATGCTACTCTATCACAGGACCTTACCCTCAATCTATGTCAATGCTGATGCTAAACAGAGAATCATCGGGTCCCATTTTCCCAACCTTCCAATCTCGGGGCCATTGGTGTTATGAATATTCAACCATTTTTTATTGCTGAAAGGATTTGGGGAAAGAAGCAAAGATATATATATATATATTGATTTTAATTTAAAGGAAGTTAGTTTTCACCTCAGTAATTCTCTCACCTCTAAAGGAAGTTACTGTTAAACTAAATTATGTTGTTTAGCAGTGTTGCACAACATAGATATAGCCTATCCTACTAGATACAGTGCATTCGGAAAGTTTTCAGACCCCTTCCCTTTTTCCACATTTTGTTACGTTACAGCCTTATTCTAAAATTGATGAGGGAAAAAAATTATTTAATCAATCTACACACAATACCCCATAATGACAAAGTAAAAACAGGTGTTTAGAAATGTTGGCAAATGTATTAATTAAATGTATTTATTTAAAGAACAGATACCTTATTTACATAAGTATTCAGACCCTTGCTATGAGACTAAAAATTGAGCTCAGGTGCATCCTGTTTCCATTGACCATCCTTGAGATGTTTCTACAACTTGATTGGAGTCCACCTGTGGTAAATTCAATTGATTGGACATGATTTGGAAAGGCACACACCTGTCTATATAAGGTCCCACAGTTGACAGTGCATGTCAGAGCAAAAACCAAGCCATGAGGTCGAAGGAATTGTTCGTAGAGCTCCGAGACAGGTTTGTGTTGAGGCACAGATCTGGGGAAGGGTACCAAAAACGTTCTGCAGCATTGAAGGTCCAAGAACAAAGGCCTCCATCATTCTTAGATGGAAGAAGTTTGGAACCACCAAGACTCTTCCTAGAGCTGGTCGCCCGGCCAAACTGAGCAATCTGGGGAGAAGGGCCTTGTTCAGGGAGGTGACCAAGAACCCAAAGGTCACCCTGAAAGAGCTCCAGAGTTCCTCTGTGGAGATGGGAGAACCTTCCAGAAGGACAACCATCTCTGCAGCACTCCACCAATCAGGCCTTTATGGTAGTGGCCAGAAGAAAGCCACTCCTCAGTAAAAGGCACATGACAGCCAGCTTGGAGTTTGCCAAAAGGCACCAAAAGGACTCTCAGACCAGGAGAAACAAGGTTCTCTGGTCTGATGAAACCAATATTGAACTCTCTGGCCTGAATGCCAAGCGTCACATCTGGTGGAAACCTGGCACCATCTCTATGGTGAATCATGGTGGTGGCAGCATAATGCTGCGGGGATGTTTTTCAGTGGCAGGGACAGATCGAGGGAAAGCTGAACAGAGCAAAGTACAGAGATATCCTTGACGAAAACCTGCTCAGGATCTGGGGCAGAGGTTCACCTTCCAAAAAAACAACGACCCTAAACACACAGCCAAGTCAACGCAGGACTGGCTTCGGAAAAAGTCTCTGAATGTCCTTGAGTGGCCCAGCCAGAGCCCAGACTTGAACCTGATCTAACATCTCTGGAGAGACCTGAAAAGAGCTGTGCAGCAATGCTCTCCATCCAACCTGACAGAGCTTGAGAGGATCTGCCAAGCTTGTAGTGTCATACCCAAGAAGACTTGTGGCAGTAATCACTGCCAAAAGTGCTTCAACAAAGTACTGAGTAAAGGTTCTGAATACTTATGTAAATGTTAAACTTTTTTATTCATTTTTTGTATACATTTGTGTGCAGTGCATTCGGAAAGTATTCAGACCCCTTGACTTTTTCCATATTTTGTTACGATACAGCCTTATTCTAAAATATATATATATATTTTTTAAACATTCCCCTCATCAATCTACACACAATACCCCATAATGACAAAGTAAAAACAGGTTTTTAGAAATGTTCGCAAATGTATTAAAAATAAATGGAAATATCCCATTTACTCAGTACTTTGTTGAAGCACCTTTGGCAACGATTACAGCCTCACGTCTTCTTGGGTATGACGCTACAAGCTTGGCACACCTCTATTTGGGGAGTTTCTTCCATTCTTCTCTGTAGATCCTCTCAAGCTCTGAAAATGTGTTTTCGCTTTGACATTATGAGGAATTGTGTGTAGATTGCTGAGTAAAAATAATAATTTAATCCATTTTAGAATAAGGCTGTAATGTAACAAAATGTGGAAAAGGGAAGTGGTCTGAATACTTTCCGAATGCACTATGTGTACATACAGTACCAGTCAAAAGTTTGGACACACCTATTCATTCAAGGGTTTTTCTTTATTTTTTACTATTTTCTACATTGTAGAATAATAGTGAAGACATCAAAACTATGAAAAACACACAATGTAGTAACCAAAAAAGTGTTAAACAAATCAAAATATATTTGAGATTTGAGATTCTTCAAATAGCCATCCTTTGCCTTGATGACAGCTTTGCACATTCTTGGCATTCTCTCAACCAGCTTCACCTGGAATGCTTTTCCAACAGTCTTGGAATAATATGCAGTTCCCACATATGCTGAGCACTTGTTGGCTGCTTTTCCTTCACTCTGCCGTCCAACTCGTCCCAAACCATCTCAATTTGGTTGAGGTCGGGTGATTGTGGAGGCCAGGTCATCTGATGCAGCACTCCATCACTCTCCTTCTTGGTAAAATAGCCCTTACACAGCCTGGAGGTGTGTTGGGTCATTGTCCTGTTGAAAAACAAATGATAGTTCCACTAAATCCAAACCAGACGGGATAGCGTATCGCTGCAGAATGCTGTGGTAGCCATGCTGGTTAAGTGTGCCTTGAATTCTAAATAAATCACAGACAGTGTCACCAGCAAAGCACCCCCACACCATAACACCTCCTCCTCCATGCTTTACGGTGGGAACTACACATGCAGAGATCATCCATTCACCCACACCGCGTCTCACAAAGACATGGCGGTTGGTACAAAAAATCTCAAATCTGGACTCCAGATCAAAGGACAAATTTCCACCGGTCTAATGTCCATTGCTCGTGTTTCTTGGCCCAAGCAGGTCTCTTCTTCTTATTGGTGTCCTTTAGTAGTGGTTTCTTTGCAGCAATTCGACCATGAAGGCCTGATTCACGTAGTCTCCTCTGATCAGTTGATGTTGATGTTGATGTGTCTGTGACTTGAACTCTGAAGCATTTATTTGGGCTGCAATTTCTGAGGCTGGTAACTCAAATGAACTTATCCTCTGCAGCAGAGGTAACTCTGGGTCTTCCATTCCTGTGGCGGTCCTCATGAGAGCCAGTTTCATCATAGCGCTTGATGGTTTTTGCGACTGCACTTGAAGAAACTTTAAAAGTTCTTGAAATGTTCCGTATTTACTGACCTTCATGTTTTAAAGTAATGATGGATTGTCGTTTCTCTTTGCTTATTTGAGCTGTTCTTGCCATAATATGGACTTGGTCTTTTACCAAATAGGGATATCTTCTGTACAACCCCATACCTAGTCACAACACAACTGATTGACTCAAACTCATTAAGAAGGAAAGAAATTCCACAAATTAACTTTTAACAAAGCACACCTGTTAATTGAAATACATTCCAGGTGACTACCTCATGAAGGTGGTTGAGAGAATACCAAGAGTGTGCAAAGCTGTCATCAAGGCAAAGGGTGGCTATTTGAAGAATCTCAAATATAAAATACATTTTGATTTGTTTAACACTTTTTTTAGTTGCTACATGATTCCATATGTGTTATTTCATAGTTTTGATGTCTTCACTATTATTCTACAATGTAAAAATAAAGAAAAACCCTTGAATGAGTTTTTATGCACACCAGAAGACAATTGTTGACTTTGTGATGTAACAGTTGTAATTAGATGGACCTATGCTTTTCCTGACCCATTAAAAACAAGTTTGAATAATTTATGATTATGATAGTAAAAAAACAAAAATCACACAAACTGGTATGTCAATCTGAATATGTTTGCAATTTCGTTTAAAAAAAATATTTGTTTAAGTCAAGTCATCCAAACTATACTGAACGAAAATATAAACACAATATTTTAAGTGTTGGTCCCATGTTTCATCAGCTGAAATAAAAGATCCCAGACATTTTCCATACACACAAAAAGCTTATTTCTCTTAAATGTTGTGCACAAATTTGTTTAAATCCCTGTTTGTGAGCATTTCTCCTTTGCCAAGATAATCCATCCACCTGACAGGTATTTTTGTATTTATTATGGATCCCATTAGCTGCTACCAAGGCAGCCGCTACTCTTCCTGGGGTCCAGCAAAATTAAGGCATTTATACATTTTAAAAACATTACAATACATTCATAACATATTTCACAATATATTAAGTGTGTGCCCTCAGGCTTCTACTCTACTACCACATATCTATAACACAAAATCTATGTGTACGTGTGTATAGTGCGTATGATATCGTGTGTTTGTATGCATGTGTCTATGTTTGTGTTGCTTCACAGTCCCTGCTGTTCCATAAGGTGTATTTTTATCTGTTTTTTAAATCTAATTTTACTGCTGGCATGAGTTTCTTGATGTGGAATAGAGTT